CCCTTGTGGAATGGCAATGTTTATTCTATGCCATTGTTTATTTGAACTATGTAACTTGGCTTTTATTGTACAGGGTGTCACAGTTAAGAGATCATGAAACTTACAAGATAATCTGCACCTAAACCTTTGAGCAGTGTTGGAACCATGTTTTAGTTAAGGTTTCCATTGTGATGAAACACCATGACTAAAAAGCACAGTTTTGGGCTGTTTTTATGTGTCAACTTAACACAAGTTACAGTCATCAGAGGAAGGAGTCTCTGTTGAGGAAATGCCTCCCTGAGAAACAGCTGTAAGGCATTGTTTCATTTATTGATCAGTGTGGGAGGGCCCAGCCCACTGTGCCATCCCTGGGCTGCTGGTCCTGGGTTCTATAAGAAAGCAGGCTGTGCAAGCCATGGGAAGCAAGCCAGTAAGCAGCTTCTCTCCATGGCCTCTGTATCAGTTCCTGCCTCCAGGATCCTGCCCTGCGTGAGTTCCTGTCCTCACTTCCTTCAGTGATGAACAGCAATGCTGAAGTGTAAGCCAAATAAACCCTTTCCTCCCAACTTTTTCTTTGGTCGTGGTGTTTCATCAAAGCAATAAAAACCCTAAGACAGTATGTATAAGACAGTGCTTGCATTCCCCCACCCTAATAGTATCCAGCTATTGTAAAATACATATTTGTACATGCTTGCTGACTGCACTACCCATTAGAATTCTAAGTTCTGTGTCATTTTGTTTACTGGTAGATGGCCAGTGCCTAGTACATAAGGAGATACTTAGTAAAACCTCAATGAATACTACAAGCCCATTCATTTAGATTAAAACTTGAAAATCGGAAACAGATGCCTCTTCTTTCCAGTCGTTTTGATTAAAAAGTAAAGTAGGTGGGTGAGGATGCATATTCCAGTACTCCAGAGGCAGAGGCAGGGGGATATTTCTGAGTTCAAGGTCAGCTTGGTTTACAAAGCCAGCATTAGGACAACCATGTCTACATAGTGAGACACACTGTCTGAAAACAAACAACAAGAAAAGTAAAATCACTGGCTAATTTTTTTTTTACTCATTGTAGCTTAAGACCATATTTATTAATAATGAGAAAAACAATTGTAAAACATTTTTACGTGCTCTCCAAATGATAAGTATGATGGTTAACCTTGATTGCCATCCTAAGTGGACCAAACAATACCCAGTAAAGCACTTTTCTCAGAGTGTCTTAGAGGGTGTTTCTCACTGTGAATGTCACCATCCACTAGGCTGGGAATCTGACTGGAACCATCCCATGCCAGGTCCCCTGTTTCTGAGCAAGGGGGTGTGGAATCATACACCATCTTCAGCCTCAGTTATAGGCCAACAGCAACAATGCAGAGCTTCCTAATTTCAGCCTTGGACTGGGGCTGTATTATTTGTCATCCCCATCCCCCTATCCCCACTTTTATATTTATTGTATGTGTGTGAGTGTTTTCCTACATGGCTCTATATGCACTACATTTGTGCCTGGTGCCAGTGGAAGTCATAGAAGGCGTAAGTTCCCCTAGAATTAGACTTACAGATATCTATGGGTGTTGGGAACCCAGATCAGGTCCTTTACAAGAGCAGTAAGTGCTGACCATATCTCCAGACCCTGACCACCCTTTTTGAGGCTTTCATCTTATATTGAGCAGCTTTGGCTGACTGACTGACTGTCCAGCATGCAGACAGACATTGCAGCCCTTCAGCTTCCAATAGTTTTGTTTCTCTGTAAAATCCTTGGTGATACATTTATATAGTGAACTATAGGTCTTGTCTTTGAGCTGTATATAAACATGGGAATGATTGTACATTAACATTTCCCATGCTGCACTAGCAGTTCAGGGACAGTTCAAGGCCCCCTAATCCAGGCATGGTTCTGGAATTTTCATGACTGTGCTGTTTCACTATGCCAGTTTGAATTGTGATATTTTGTTTCTAAAAAAGATTCACTTGGGTGGTGTACAATAAGGATACAGGAAATAAAGGCTGTGCTGGGTGGAGGGTGGGGTGGAGGAGTTGTGCTCTGTAGGCGGAGTCCAGAACTGGGAACAGCAGCAGCATTTTACATCTTAACAAGTAGCAGATCCAGACATGAAAATGCAAGGCTTTTTTTGATATATTTTCTTAAAGATTTTCATTTTGTGTGTATGTCTCTGCACCATATGTGCAGTCCTCCTGGAGTCTGGAAGAAGGTGTGAAAAACTGTGAAGACTTGACAGTTGAACCTGGGGTCCTCTGGAAGAGCAGCCCATGTGCCTAACTATTGACCCACCTCTCCAGCCCAGCCTTTTGGATCTTAACAATGGTGTTGTTTGTAACAATAATAGGATAGGCCACTATACATTCATTTTGCTATCTGACCTTCTCAGTTTCATTTTCTTTAACTTCTTTTGCCAAAACATGGTTTTATTTAAAAAAAAAAAGGTAAGTCAGTAAAAATGATAAGACTTTTCAATTCTCGGTGTAATAAATGAGAAGAACACATCACAGTAAGAAGACAAGTTTGAAGAGAAGCATTTGTATAATTGTTTGAATTCTCTGTTGGGTTAAGTACTTTTTAATGAACCATTTTGTATTCAGAAGACCCACTGAAAGACAAGCTATTATTTTCTGTCTTGAATATTTGGCAGACATTTTCTCAGAAACAACAATGATGAATTGTCTCTTCAAGGAGAACAGCTAACCTTGCTTATTAGCAATGACTAAAATTTCAAGAAAGTGTGGGTCTAGTGATGCTGGCTGGTAGTCTCAGCAGCTATCCAGTAGGCCGAGATAGGAAAGATTCCCAAGTGTAAGGCCTATATGGACTACACAGTGAGTTCAAGGCCAGCCTAATTAACTCTGCAAGACCTGTCTGAAGAAGTAAGGGAGATGGGGGTGTACCTCCATTGGCAGAGTGCTTGCTTTGTGTGCATGAAGTCCTGGGTTAGTCCCCAGCATTGAATTACAATAAATGGCACAGTGGCACAGGTTTCTATTCTTACATTGTGAGGTGGAGGCAAGAAGATAGAAATTCAAGGTCATCCTCAGCTACACATCTAGTTTCACACACACAGTGTGTGTGTGTGTGTGTGTGTGTGTTTGGGCTGGAGAGATGGCTTAGCAGTTAAGAGCATTGGTCATTCTCCCAAAGTGCCTGGGTTGGATTCACAGCGCCCACATAGTAGCTCACAACAGTCTGTAACTCCAGCTTCAGGGGATCCAACATCCTCTTCTGGCCTATATGATACTAGGCATTCATGTGATGCAGAGACATACATATATGCAGGCAAAACACCCATACACATAATATATATCACATAATACATACATGGTTGTATATGCTGTATTATATATGTTACACATACAATATATAAGATTATATATCCTGTATATATGTAAGATTTCAAGCAAAAAGTAGAACTTTATAAATGTACATACATACATTGAAATTGTCAGCTTTGGCTAGTCTTCTGAATTCTAGTCAGCAACTCCTTTTCATGGCAAGGCTCTAATTAGTTACTCTACATAGCCAACTGGAGCAAAAGGAATTATCCTGTGCTGAGACACCATTTGCTGAGATTGCTAGAATCTATAAGGGCAAGGATAGGGTTCACATAAATTTAATTGCCCTGAGTCTGGTTTTGTCTTGCCTCATGATATTTGAGCCGGTAACCATTTCTGCTGCTTTAACAGTAGATAGAGTTTGAAGCCTGTGTTTGCATCAGTCCTGTAAAGTTAGAGCCTTGTAGAACAGGATCTTGGTAAGTGAGGGGTTGATATCTGGAACAATGCATACCATCAAGAGCTTCTGACTGCTCTAACTAGCATTCCTTAATGAACTCATTTTAATCATCTACATGAGTTTGTGTGAGTCCTTCTTTGGAATGTTGGTATTATTTCAGTATAAAGGATACTGTTACTGTTCACTTTCCTATCTCCCCAAGAAAGACACATAACACTCAATGTTCCAACAGGGTCTTCGCGTTCGCAAGACTGAGTTAGAGTGGATGGATCATCTTCAGAAATCCTGAGGTGGTCATCCTCCTGTATATAATATGGTGTTATCAACATGCCTCCTAGATGAACTTTGTCAGCAGAGTGAATATGAGAGGTGCCCCAAACCCCAAAGTCTATAATCCCAGAAAGCAGTCAGTATGTGACTAGATTGTAGGAGAGTTGTGTGACCAGTTG